GACTACGCATGACAAATAGAATGACTCCAGTCACTTTCATAGTCCGGACGGGCACTATGGACTATACGAGATTTCAGACTAGTCCTGTACTAGGACATTTTGAGAAAAAGACTAGACTGGAAGGTCGACTTGTCTAGTAAAAAGACTAGTCTTTTTACTAGTCTTTTGGTCACCTGGGATACAGCATCGTTTTAATCTCCTCTTCAATTTATCTGATAATAAAGTTCCGACGAATTAAGAAGATATCTAACGAAATAGTAATATTTAGGGCACAATTTTGCAGTAGAGCAATGATATAGTCAGGCATGCGATTGAAATGTGAGATAGCTATCGGCGTATACCGATCGGTATGTGCACTATCGTTCGTATACTGATGACTTTTCATTGAAAATTTCTTATCATTTAGAATTTTTGACGTTATATGTTAAGGAATTATTAGCAAACTCGTCTAAAGTATTACAAATGAAGCTATAAAACTCCTAGTTACGATTTCTCACTTTAGAAAATTTGGATAGTATCAGAAATTATCAGTTGAAATGTTAGTAATTAGTTATATCTATGAATGATACAGGAAAATCTATGAACCTGGTGGCTATTTATTAGAAAACAAACTTTTTGTCATTACCTAGAAATCGATAATAACTGTTCTTCAAGTTATGTTTGCATCATTGTCTGAAATTATTTTCTCGAAATGTTTGTTAACTGCTTTTTTTTATTATATTATGTTCTAGAAATTGACAAATATATGAAGGACACAATTAGACATTACGAACACTAGAGATTTTTGGTTCTAGACTCGTTGAACAAAATGTAGTTTCAGTTTCAGATTTGGTAAAATGTATTGTATCCCTGGAAAAAAAACTTGTATTCTACATCTGAAAAATGCTACTAAAATAAAATTTATAGAGCAAAGGTGATTACATCCTGTTTTTAAATAGCTCCGATGTTTCTATCATCCGGCATATTACTGTTACAGTTTATATTTGTGCATTTTGTCATGTAAACTGAAAGCAATAATCCTATCCTCATTATCACAATCACATGGATTCATTTTTTTACAATTGTTTTCAATATCTTTTCTTAAATTATTTTACTATTATAGAAATGCCCTGTTAAATAAATTGTAATTTATTATGATAGAGCATGTTCTTATCTATCGTTCTATGCATGATTTTCTTGACTTGCATTTACATATGTGCTATGGAATAACTCAATTATTTCGTCGATACTCACTTAACAAGTACTAAACGAAAGCAAGCTTTGTTTTTTAGTGTCTCTTTTATTTCTATTTCTATGGCTTCACTACCCAGGACGAGCTTTACGACGTCCGTATACGGTGAAATACGGGCCGTATACGACGGTAAATCGCCGTATTTGGCCGTATTACATGGCTCCGTATTACGATCGTAAATCTCCGTGTCGTAATACGGTGAAATACGATCAAAAACGACCGTAAAGCGCCGTATTTCGCCGTATACGGCACGGAGATTTACGATCGTAATACGGAGCCATGTAATACGGCCAAATACGGCGATTTACCGTCGTATACGACCGTGTATGTTCGACCTGGGTATGATTGAGTATGCCAGAGAATATTATAATAAACGATGATATCTTCAAATGATTGATTCTATAGCCATTAAAGAAATTTTAAAAGACAAATATTTTGTTTTTGATAATTACTAAAAATAGGCTGTGCCAATATGATGATGATGACCCTCTGATTCTATTCGATTTACTTTGACGAAACGAAATTATAATCTAAAACATGGATATACAACATTGAAGAAAACTTCGACATCGTTTTCCCGGTGTGCTGGAAAAATGTCGAAAGGAAAAATAAAAAACAATGATGCCTCAAGTATATGGCGATTGTAACCACATATACTTCCTTGTTTTTTCTTGTAATTTTACTAGTGTAGAATTTTAGTCAGTATTGATAGGGATGACTAACTATTGATACAAGTAAAATAGAGGAGTTGAATAAAGTAACAACAACTAATAAGTATTGGATATGCACTATTAATTATTGTGATGCTAAAGTGCATACTGATTCAAAGAATCGATTGATGAAAACTGTTTGCAATCATAGTCATCTTCCAGGAAAAGAAAAACTTGAGGTTCGTGAAACTCGTGAAAAAATGACATATTTAAAAAGAATTTTTCTCACCCTTAATATTTCAGCTTAATTTCATGCAAAAAACATTCACTGTATTATTTACAATTCTCTAAAATATTACATGACAATGTTTCATGTCAATATCATTTTTTCGACATTTTTCCTTCCGATATTTTTCCTCTTCCTTCTTGCGACATTTCTACTTTCGACATTATGACGGCCAACCGTTTTCCCCAGTGTTACAGATGATTTCTGATCTTAATAGATAAATTCCTGGATTAGGCCGTCTGTAAAATTGTAATAGTTTGAGTGGTTTATTCTTTTGTAATTATATACCAGCAGATCAATGAAACTTGTTAATTAATTTTGATCAAAAATGAAAAACACATGATTTCACATTTTAATCATCGGGTAGTATTATACGTAGAGGGAAAGATCCAATTGTTTAGATTTATTTACATGAAAATTGACTATAGTATTTTATTATAATTATACGTATATCAATATTTTGTCCAGAATACACTAATAAAGTCAAAATCGAAAAAATTATGAAAGTCTGATTTATACGAATAAAATATCGTTTCAAAGCTAATCATCGTTAGTTCTGAGTGCGACTAAGCAGGTCTCTAACAGCAAGGCACAAAAGATACAGAGCATCCGGTAAGTCATTTTCAAAGATTTCCATGTCGAACTTGCTCACAAATAAATATGATGTAATCCGCTTAGTAAATTGGGCTAAAACTTTGCTTGGCTCTTTCTCATCATAGAATCGGGTAACAAATGAAAATGCATCGGATGCCATAGAAATACGTCGATTGCTCCATTCAATCGTAAATTTCATATCTACAAGCTTAAAGTGTTGAAATATCGTTCCATTAGCCCATTGCTCAGTTGAATCATCGAAAACGGCAAATCGAGCTTTGTAGATCATCGTTGCATACTGTTGTTTGAGTTTGCCCACCAATTTTTTCGATGGATACGAAATAAGGTCAATGTTCTGTCTAAATGATAAATGAGATTCGATTCGATACTGAATCGTTTGTCCTTTTGGATCATAAATAGAATATTCACCAGCTTTCATTCCAGAAATTAAATCTTTTCGAATATAATATTTTTTTTCGGCTGTTTGACAAACGGCGAAATGAAAGATAAAGAGAAATTGTAATAGTCGCATCATGCTAGCTCTGAAGAAAAATAATATTAGCTATAGAATAGTAAACGATAGAAAACAGTATAACTAAGAAGTTTTTTTATGGTACATTTTTTACCCTCGGGGTTGTTTATCTTCAATTTATCGTCAACTCTATCAACATGTAATTGTCTGCAAAGATAATCTACTGGTATAATTGATTCTTATTTTCAATTCATCAAGAGAGATAACAGCAATTGATTTATCAACTCTCGAATAACAAAGAATTGCTGAACAATTAGTCAAATGTAAATGTCGAGTTCTTCTTTCATATTTGATTTTTGCATAGGTAATTTTTTTATTAAACGCCATGACTTTTATTTTACTCAAGCCTTTAGCTATTTGTACATATAAAGTGAAACTAGACTTACTGATAAATGTAAGAAAATCATGTTTGTAAGCTGATAAGAAACTGTTTTCGCATTTTCAATGCGACGTTCTACCATGTAATGCTTGATTTCGGTATTTGCAGATTTTAGACAAGCAGTTATATCTTCTTCTTGCACTAGCAGAGCTTTTCTATTTTATTTCAATAAGAGTTATCGTTAGATATGAGATTGTCTACTTTTCACGTATTACTTAAAATAATAATTATTAGGATACTCCCAATTTATAATAGACAATACTTAAACTCAATTAAAATATAATTTGATACTTTAGAATGTATATTCTTTTTTCAATAAAAGAAGCTAAAATAGTTCAGACAAGTGCAACAGTGGTTAACGATCCGTTAGACAGCAAACTAAATTTCCAGAATAGCTTATAAAAGTTGGACCATGGAGATTCCTACTTACAGAAAGATAGCCTTTCTTTTCATGCAGCATAACAGAATTACGATTCATTTGCTAGCCCTTTTTAAAAGAGAATTTTAATAAATTATTGTGAAGAACACTGTTCGTATGCTAAATTAGATGAATATTTTCTATTAATGTAAAACTATTTTAAAAGTTACAATCACATCCACCACAATCACAGTTACCGCAGTCACATCCATCGCAATCACAGCAATTGCAGTCACAACCATTGCCTTCACAGCAACTGCAATCACAACAACTAAAATCGCAGCAACCAGTAGAATCGTTTGATGACGTGTTATCGTTGGTTACGCAGCATATGCAGCAGCAACATCGAGCCCATTCGTCACACCAATAAGTAGAGGACGTAATTGGTTGTGATCTGCTACGTTCATTTTGGTGTTTACGTTTCTTTGCCTCTTCTGAATCGACATCACTCAGTACATTTTCTAACGGATCTGTTGCGACAGGCTGTTGCATGATTCGCACTGGATCATTGACCACCCGAGGGAGTCCCATACCTGACATATTGTCAGTAGATTTTGCTTGAAAAATCTCAAATGAAATGAATCAAAATTGGCATGCTTTTTGTTGCATAAATATTTGCTTAGCACGCGCACATGTACCTAAGTTCACAAGCAGAGAACGAAAGGTAAAACAGCCAAAAGAAGTCGGCGCTACTGTTTGACTAATAAAATAAAAGTAAAAATGAAACCTTCAAACTTTTTCTTTCAAAGATTGATGATTACTATACTGATGATTGTATATCGAATAAAAAGAAGTAAATAGTATCAAGTTATTACCTCATGAGTCATGACGTATAGAAAACATGAAGAAGAAAAGGCAAATATTAACATCAATGTCTCAATGATAATTAAAATTTATACGCACACACAACAAGCGCTCAAATAAGTATCGATTGGAGTCGATTGCGATTGTTTCATCTTCATATGATCCATGTATGAAGGTGACGTTACGAGCGTAGATTTTTGACTTTACGAAATTTATTTACGACGTGGAATATGTTTCTGACTGCAAAGAAACCAGAAACTGAATCAATATTTGATGAGAGTTTTTAGGTTATCTTCATATGTTTCAAGATGCAAAATATACAAATGACTCAAACACCATAGCATTGAGTTTTCATTGTTCGCGTCGTAAAGTGCAGCAATGGCAAAGTTCCGAGAAAATGTCACTTTTCCTACCCAAAGTCCCGTGGACAGGTGCCGCCACCAGCAAGGTCCTATGGCGAGACTTTAGGTTGAGGGTGAAGGACTTTTCACAGGACTTTAAGTAAAGTGGACATTTTCTGGATCTTTGCCAGCCCTCGTACAGTGACGTCACAGCTATTCAAGTAATTGATCAAGTGAATGATTCACAAGAAACAAAGACGTGACGTGTGTTGTGAGTCACTCTAAAAGATATCGCGCATGAAAGAAGAATGCAAGTTGCGATAGTTTTAGATAAGAGAGAGCGAAACTCAAATAATCAAAGTAAACAAGGAGAACGGAAAATTATAAATGAACGAAAGTGAAAAATAATCACAGATGTCTTTCACGAAATTAATCACCTGGCTCTCATCGATCTCCTTACTTTCAGCTCAAATGAACGACAGATAATCGACTGAAAGGTCGCGTTAGAAGATGTAACTAGAGGAAGATGCTGATCGAAAGAAAATAAAGAAGAATTCGAACGTGCGATGATGACTATTTGAAATAAATAAAACCATACAAAGTTCAGTACAATGCATGTGACGATTTCTTATAGAAGGAGTATAGATGTGATGGTTTTATACTTTATTATGTTCTTTCATATCACACTAACATGTCGTGTACACAAAAATCACGCGCTTAAACAATAATGAACTACATGAAGACAAGCGTCGTATAGAAAATGACAACGAAAAACAATATATTGGCTGTGTGGTTCGCTAGAGATGTATGAAAGGGTTTACACGATTTACCACCCGAGGATTTACTTTCCTTTGATTATATCGACGAAAGAGAAAGCAATAAATGAATACTAGTTGCGATAACCAATATATTATCAGAAAAAAAAGAATTTCAATAAATATACCAACAAATAAGAAAAAAAGACAATAAATATACCATTAACAGAAAAAAAAAGATGAATCGATGTTTAACGTTTTGCTGGTCTTTGAAAGTATCTAAGTCCAGCAGCTTTCAAAAATGCTGGAATGTCAAGAAGACCTTCATCATAACGCTGCCATAATTTTATTAAACATTCATCTGTTATGACTTTATTTTTACGCCGTTTTGGAGCTGGAGCCCCCATATCATCTCTTAATCTAGCAATCGATGCTAATGATTGTTCTTTTCGCAGTAAATCACCCAATACTCAGAATCATTTTGGTTTTTACGTTTCAAAGAATATCGGTAACACAAATGTCGTTTACCATGTGTAGATTCAACAAATACCGCAGACGTTTTAAAAAGCAATATGAGAAAGAAGAGGGTAATTTCAGCACTTATATACATTTTTACAAATTTTATCATACTAATGACTACTTTAGCCCTCGAATTGATGAGCGCTACTCGTCAATTAAAAAATTCAATGCGCTCGTTCGTCGATGAATATTCTTTTCGGAAATTTTTTCTAATTTGTTCATCGGAAACGTTCATTGGCGAAATATTACTCATTTGTTCATTTCTCATCTGCGAAACAATCAACGGACAGTAAATCCTCACAGAAGAATAACAGTAATTGGAAAAAAAATTTCAAATAATCAACGGACAGTAAATCCTCGGGTAGTAAATCCTCAGATGGTAAATCGTGCACACGGTTCTAAATTAATACTTATATTCAGGATTTGTTTATAAAGCTTACTCAATCGCCGAACGTATTAAAATCGTATTGGACCTCTTTTTTTCTGAACTTCAGAACTTTTCATTAATTTGATCTCTGAAATTAATTGTCTTAGTCGCTCATCATCTGTTGTGAATAAATACGAAAAATCAATTGATGAATTTGAATCTTCTTCTTCGCGTACTTAAACTTTCGATATTTTGTATCCGTTGACTGTTTCTCGCAGTACCTAAAAAATGGTTGTCTCAATCTCTTTCCGTATCCTGTTTTCACCTGGATCAATGGAAAAATTTGTAAATGTCGAAACACATAAGGTTGAATGTTGTAAATCTTTGACAAAGGAAACTACTCTCTCTCTCTCTCTCTCAGAATGTTAATCTATAAGATTACGTATAACAGATTTATACACAACACACGAATGAGATTGAGAAGAAACGTGCTTACTTATAGTTCGAATTTTTCTTTGCAACGCCCTCTTTCAACTTAATCTTTTCATTTTGCCGTCGCAACATGGAAAAAGAACTGAGACTCCAATCGTGAAATAGCTGAATAACGAAAGAATGAAAAATCGACGTGATTAATCGTCAATTCTGGCAAATAAAAATGATCTTTTGATATTTTCATTTCTCATGTGAACTACCAAATCTCGAGCGATTCATGCATGATAAAATTGAACATTCAGTATTTTCTATCAATCTGTTCTTCGAAAAATGGCCCAGATTTCATTGTCATATTCTATCAGATTGAATGCTCTTAAAAACAAAATAAAACAAGAAGACATTGATTCAACTCATGGATCTTCTTAATCAATCATTAAAATTTACAAGTTTTTATTTTTGTTAAATTCTAAAATTCTATTCGAGTCTATCTGTCAACTCATAAATACCGGTTCTTGATAATTTGGTATTGTTTACTTTTATTAGGTTGCTATCAAATGATCAAAATTTATAGAATATTAACTCGGGACAAAAAGTTTAAGATTTCCGACATCAATTTTTTTCTCGGTTCACCGATCTGGTAACGTTGTTTATTATTCTTGGCAATCTTTATACCAGAGATGGACGGGGCAGCTAAAAAGTCGCCTCGCCACCGCACCACCACCGCACGTGAGATGATGGCTGTTTGAAATAAATAAAACCATACAAAGTTCAATACAATGTATGTGACGATTTCTTATAGAAGGAGTATAGTTGTGATGGTTTTATACTTTATTATGTTCTTTCATATCACACTAACATGTCGTGTACACAAAATCACGCGCTTAAATATTCAAGTAGAAGAAGCAGAGTCAAGCAAAGGATAAAGATGAATGAACAATAAAGTTAGGAAAATCCATAGCTACGATATAAACGAACGTTTAGCATTATATATACAATTCAATCAACTGGATCCGTCACAATACACAATGAATAAGAGGGAAAATATGCGAAGCGAGACAATAGCGACCTACGTGAAGACAAGCGTTGTATAGAAAATGACAACGAAAAACAATATATTGGCTGTGTGCTTCGATAGAGACAGTAGTGACGCAACCACGAGTGGTTGAGTCGATCCCACAAATATTTCTATTTTGGCTATTTTTTAATACTGTTGTAATTTTTTCGAGTGATGTTTGTTCCAGAAAACATAATCTGCATGCCACCCATGATAAAAAAAAGTCAAGAAAAAAGAAAAATAATAATTCTTTTCTGTTTGTGTCATCTATATACAATGTGAGTAATGGACTCTCGTCTATCTGTTCAATAATGGAATTTTCATGATTAAAATTTGATCAGTTGAATCGTCGGGAAGGTACATTTCTCTTGTGGATAGTGTTACGAGCTATTTCATTAGAATTTTATGAAACAAAATAGTTATCATAGAAATTAATAAGAATAATAGATCGATTATACAATGACAACGTATGATTGAAAATCTATAGCTAACGCCGAGATTTAAAATAATACTCTCTGTTGATAAACCATTTCATTGGCAATCTAGTAAAATTATCGAAACAATATAGTTTGTAAGAAATTCTTCATCACAAATATGAGATATTGATATTACTTTTTTTCTCCAAAAAAAAATAAACTCCTAAAGAAGAAATTGTTCTATAAATTGTAGATGAAGGACGAAGGTTTTCATATTAAAACTTATTCTAGTTAAAAAAAAGAAGGTAGCTATATAATTAGGGCCATATATTTTTTCTGTAATTGCTCTGATGTATAGCTTTTTTGTCAAGTATTGAATTTATGCGTTGTGGAGAACAGAAAAGATAAAAATAAACGACAGAACGCAAAAAATTATAGAAACGAAAGAAAAAAAAGACACATCAGCGATTCGATGAGAAACTTCTAGAATAGTCCACAATATGCTACATTATTGGTGTATTCTCGCTATATATAAGTTTGTGTTTCAAGTCAGTGTATCCATTCTTCATTCAAGCATTTTCATTGCAAAATTTCGGAAATAACTATGACTTTCTTACCAATTTATCGTTATCGTGCGTTCGGCGATCCATTTCAAGAACTATTCGGTAATCAGCTTGCTTTTTTCGATCCATGGAAGGACTATAAAGCAACGGAAATGATTCTACCGAGTTCGTTCCGATGGATCAACGAGCCACTTTGTTTTACTCGCAGACGCTTGAAATCGAGACTCAACGAAAATTTTCGTGTTCAAATCAATGTCGATGGTTTCAATCCAGAAACAATTCAAACAAAGATTGAAGGCAAAAAATTAATTGTACAAGCCAAGCATGAAGATCGTCAGGCTGATGGTGATTTCAATTATCGAGAAATGAGAAAAAGCTACGATCTCCCTGAACATGCCGGTATGTTATACCTTCCAATGGCGTAGTCAAGAAGAACCTGATGGAGCTGATCCTGTTTTCCGTTTACAAGCTTTGGTTATGCAAGAGCGAGCTGTTAATCTTCACATAAATTACAAGAAAGAGAGAGACATATAATTAGCTTAGAGATAGATAACCTATTGAGGTACTATTCTATTGCAATGATCATAGCTTTTCATTGAGTCTTCAAGTTACTCAATTGGATCGACTAGCAACTATTGTTGTCGAGACACAAACAATTGATGAATGAATTTCAGCTACTGTTATGACCAAAGGCGAGTAGTCAAGAGACTATTAAGATTTGGTTTTAGGTTGTAGCAGACATTTTGCTTGAGATAATTGTAGCATTGAATATTGAAAAATAAAAACAGCTGAATAGACATTGTACAAATTATTTTGTTTAGATTTTACAAGATATTTTAGTTAAAAATGATTAGATTTTACGTCATTATCTTTATATTTATTGTTATCTAGGAAACGTTCTTAGTAGTCATTCAAATGAAAGTTTATGCCGATGAAGATATTACATTACTATGCACCGGAGTATTTAGAAATAGATAATTTCATTGAAAGATTTCTTTTATTTGATGAATTGATAATTGTTAACAGTTGAACTAGAGTCTGAAACAAGCCAGCTCTTGATAGCAGTGACAAAGAAGAAAGACCTTAAGCTCTTCCATCAGTTCAACGTTGACTGCGTCACAATCATTTTTAAATAATTAATTTGAAAATGTTTGTTCATAGATATGAATAATGTTGTCTCGTTCGTTACGTCAAATAACATGCTTGTCATTGAAGTGCCAATTCGTGATCCAGAAGTCGAACGTAAGTTAGTAGAAGCACAAGCTGAAGCAAGCAAAGAAGTAGCTCAATTTGGACAATATCGCGATCCGATTTTTGACTATGTTGGCTTTTTGAATAATTGTGGTTTCCATCAACGTATTGTTGAAATAGATGACAAGGGACAAAAACAATTGCAAATATTGTTACCTATGAAAAATGCCAAGCCTGATATGGTTAAAGTTTCTGTGAAAGATAATCAATTGACGGTTCAATGCGAAAGTAGTTACAAGGACGAGACTTGTAAAGAACGATCATTCTTTCGAAAATCAATAACCTTACCACCGGGCACGCAGGTCGATCAATTACAATCACAAATAACAGACAATGGCGAAATCAAAATCGAAGCACCTTACGTTGAACCAACTCAACAATAAAAATCAAATTGTAGAATAAGATTAGAACTTTTGAAAATTTATTGTATTCAGTGTGTAGCTTGTAAAGAGTAGCTCTTTATTCATCAAGAGATTTTTTTCAATAAAATAAGCTTTAACAATAGATTCGAAAATGAACTCAATCTTAGTTATTGTACTTTATAAAATGATAATGGTGAGATTCACGAATCTCTCTGTAGCTAGAGATTCGTGTAAGATTTGAATAGCAGCTCTAGTCGAACTTTTTTTTGCAAGCGCATGCAATTCTTGACTTTTTTGATCAAGAAAGTCAAGAACTATGGACACATCTTGAGGCAAGACATGAACCTTTTCGGTAAGCTCAAGTTCTTAAACTTCTTGTTCATGCGCTTGAATTTTTATCTAAGCGTTTCTGTTATTAAAGAACTTTTTCAACTTTTTTTTTTTCAATTTTACATTCACAATAACTCAACTTTTAATAAAAAAAAG